TGCTGCCCCAGTTTGGTTCTGCTGAGGTCAGGGAGCCCCAAATTTGGGATTTTGGGGGGTTTTTTGGGAGTTTTGGGCATTTTTTGGGAGTTTTTAGCAGTTTTTGGGGGATTTGGGGTGATGAAGGGTCAGTGTCCGGCGCTACGGCCGCGCCTTCTGGGACGCCGTGCACGAGCTGCTGCCCCAGTTTGGTTCTGCTGAGGTTGGGCAGCCCCAAAAATGGGATTTTGGGTTTAATTTGGGAGTTTTTTGGGGGGATTTTAGGGGGTTTTGGGGGGTTTTAGGTGGTTTTAGGGTCACGGGGGGTCAGTGTCCAGCGCTACGGCTGCGTCTTCTCGGATGCTGTCCATGAGCTGCTGCCCCAGTTTGGCTCTGCTGAGGTCAGGGAACCCCAAAAATGGGATTTTGGGATGTTCTGGGTGGGTTTTAGGGGGCTTGAGGGTTTTTTAGGGCATCTTGAGGGGTTTTAGCATCACAGGCTCTCAATTTTGACTCAAATTCTGGCAAAATTTAGAGTGAAGGATCCCCCAGATCCCCCCTGAGCCCCCTCCCCAAATTTCTCCCCTGGACGTTTACCTGGAGCATTTTGGGGTGGTTTGGAGCCATTTTTGGATCGTTTTGAGTGGGATTTTGGGGCGTTTTTGACTCAAATTCTGGGACAATTCAGAGTGGGGCATCCCCCCTGAGCCCCCTCCCCTACTTTGCCCCCCCGCCCTGCGCCGTGNCCCCCCGGGACCCCCTGGACGTTTACCTGGAGCATCGGCTGCTGCTGGAGCAGCGGGGCCGGGCCACGGGAGCCCCCAGGACCCCCCAAAACCAGTTCCCCCCGGAGCTGCTGCGGCGTTTGTGAGTCTGCCCAGGGCCCTGGGGACCCCAGACCCAATTCCTGGCCACCCCAAAATCCCAAACCTCACCCAAAACCCTTTTCCCCTCATTTTTCCCCCATTATTTCTCATTTTCCTTCCTTTTTTCCCTCACTTCTTCCCCAATTCTTCCCCTTTTCCCCCCATAATTCCCATTTTCCCCCCCAAATCCACTTTTTTTCTCCTATAAAACCCCATTTTTTCCTCTCACAATTCTGTTTTTTCCCAAAATCCCCGTTTTTCTCCCCAAAGCGAGCTGTATTTCCGGGCTCCCTCGTGCTCCAAGGCGCTGTCCCCGCGGGAGCTGCAGACCCCATTTTTTACCCCCAAAATTCCCATTTCCCCCCCTACAAACCCCATTTTTTCCCCCCACATCCCCATTTTTCCCTCTCACAATTCCCATTTTTTCTGTTTTTTCCCAAAATCCCCGTTTTTCTCCCCAAAGCGAGCTGTATTTCCGGGCCCCCTCGTGCTCCAAGGCGCTGTCCCCGCGGGAGCTGCGCGCCGCCAGCATCGGCGCCCTGGTCACCGTGCAGGGAATCGTCACCAGGGCCAGCGAGGTGCGGCCGCTGCTGCGCGTGGCCACCTACAGCTGCGACCAGTGCGGCGCCGAGACCTACCAGCCGGTACTGGGCATACTGGGACATACTGGGAATGGATTTGGGGTGGTTTTGGGGGGATTTGGGGCGGTTTTGGGTGGTTTTGGAGGGACCGGGATGGACTGGGATCATCCCAGTGCCACCTACAGCTGCGACCAGTGCGGCGCCGAGACCTACCAGCCGGTACTGGGCATACTGGGACATACTGGGAATGGATTTGGGGTGGTTTTGGGGGGATTTGGGGCGGTTTTGGGTGGTTTTGGAGGGACCGGGATGGACTGGGATCATCCCAGTGCCACCTACAGCTGCGACCAGTGCGGCGCCGAGACCTACCAGCCGGTACTGGGCATACTGGGACATACTGGGAATGGATTTGGGGTGGTTTTGGGGGGATTTGGGGCGGTTTTGGGTGGTTTTGGAGGGACCGGGATGGACTGGGATCATCCCAGTGCCACCTACAGCTGCGACCAGTGCGGCGCCGAGACCTACCAGCCGGTACTGGGCATACTGGGACATACTGGGAATGGATTTGGGGTGGTTTTGGGGGGATTTGGGGCGGTTTTGGGTGGTTTTGGAGGGACCGGGATGGACTGGGATCATCCCAGTGCCACCTACAGCTGCGACCAGTGCGGCGCCGAGACCTACCAGCCGGTACTGGGCATACTGGGACATACTGGGAATGGATTTGGGGTGGTTTTGGGGGGATTTGGGGCGGTTTTGGGTGGTTTTGGAGGGACCGGGATGGACTGGGATCATCCCAGTGCCACCTACAGCTGCGACCAGTGCGGCGCCGAGACCTACCAGCCGGTACTGGGCATACTGGGACATACTGGGAATGGATTTGGGGTGGTTTTGGGGGGATTTGGGGCGGTTTTGGGTGGTTTTGGAGGGACCGGGATGGACTGGGATCATCCCAGTGCCACCTACAGCTGCGACCAGTGCGGCGCCGAGACCTACCAGCCGGTACTGGGCATACTGGGACATACTGGGAATGGATTTGGGGTGGTTTTGGGGGGATTTGGGGCGGTTTTGGGTGGTTTTGGAGGGACCAGGATGGACTGGGATCGTCCCAGTGCCACCTACAGCTGCGACCAGTGCGGCGCCGAGACCTACCAGCCGGTACTGGGCATACTGGGATATACTGGGAGGGGTTTGGGGGGGTTTTGGGGCAGTTTCAGGGGGTTTGGGGACACTTTTGGGGTGTCAGTGCCACCTACAGCTGCGACCAGTGCGGCGCCGAGACCTACCAACCGGTACTGGAGCATACTGGGACATACTGGGATATACTGGGAGGGACTGGGAGGGGTTTTTTAATCGAATTTCAGAGGTTTTGGGGGGCATTTCAGGTGAATTTTTGAGTTTGGAGTGGAGTTTTTTGGGAGGATTCTCTAGTTTTTGGGGTCTCTCCCCTCACAGATTGAAGGCGCCATTTCCCCACCTTTTCCAGGGGCACTTCTGGGGGTCTCAGGGGGGAATTTTTGAGATCTTTGGGAATTTTTGGGGGTTCAGGTGGATTTTTTGGCATTTAGGTGGGATTTTCGGGGTTCATGGGGATTTTTTGCCCTTCCAGGGGAGAATTTTGGGATTTCTGACCCAAATTTCCCATTTTTGCCCTTCCAGGGGAGGATTTTTGGATTTCTAACCCCAATTTCCCATTTTTGCCCTTCCAGGGGATGATTTTTGGATTTCTAACCCCAAATTTCCCATTTTTTGCCACTCCAGAGGAGGATTTTGGGGTTCCTGGAGCTGATTTTGGGGTAATTCCAGCTGGTTTTGGGATTTCTGACCCCAAATTTGCCATTTTTTGCCTTCCCAGGGGAGGATTTTGGGCTAATTCCAGCCGATTTTGGGATTTCTGACCCCAAATTTCCCATTTTCTGCCCGTCCAGGGGAGGATTTCTACGGGAAGCTGGCGGCCTCCATCGCCCCCGAGATCTTCGGGCACGAGGACGTGAAGAAATCGCTGCTGCTGCTGCTGGTGGGGGGCGTGGAGAGGAGCCCCCGCGGCATGCGCATCCGCGGTGAGGGACCGGCACGGAAATGTCCTGGGAAAGTCACGGGAAAATCCTGGGAAATAGCCCAGAAAAATCACGGGAAAATCACGGGAAAATCCTGGGAAATATCCTGGGAAAATCACGGGAAAATCCTGGGAAATATCCTGGGAAAATCACGGGAAAAATCCCAGAAAAATCATGGGAAAATCACAGGAAAATCCTGGGAAATATCCTGGGAAAATCCTGGGAAATATCCTGGGAAAATCCTGGGAAATATCCTGGGAAAATCCTGGGAAATATCCTGGGAAAATCCTGGGAAATATCCTGGGAAAATCACGGGAAAATCCTGGGAAAGTCCTTTTTTCCCCCAGAATCTCCCAGAGCTGCCCCCAAATCCCTTTTCCCCCAATTTTCCCCCATTTTCCCCCCATTTCCCCCCCATTTTTTCCTATTTTCCCCCATTTCCCCCCCATTTCCCCCCATTTTCCCCATTCCTCCCCATTTTCCCCCCATTTTTCCCCATTTCTCCCCCTAATTTTCCCCCAGTTTTCCCCCCATTTCCCCCCATTTTCCCCATTTTTTCCCCATTTTTCCCTAAACCCCGCTCTTTTCCCCCAGGGAACATCAACATCTGCCTGATGGGGGACCCGGGCGTGGCCAAGTCCCAGCTGCTCACCTACATCGACCGCCTGGCGCCGCGCAGTGAGGGCCTTCCTCATCCTCCTCCTCATCATCCTCATCCTCCTCATCCTCATCTTCTTCTTCCTCTTCTTCCTCTTCCTCCTCTTCTTTTTCCTCCTTCTCTTCCTCTTTTTCTTCTTCCTCTTCTTCTCATTTATCTTCCTTTTCTTCCTCCTCCTCATCCTCATCCTCATCCTCCTCATCCTCATCTTCTTCTTCCTCTTCTTCCTCTTCCTCCTCTTCTTTTTCCTCCTTCTCTTCCTCTTTTTCTTCTTCCTCTTCTTCTCATTTATCTTCCTTTTCTTCCTCCTCCTCATCCTCATCCTCATCCTCCTCATCCTCATCTTCTTCTTCCTCTTCTTCCTCTTCCTCCTCTTCTTTTTCCTCCTTCTCTTCCTCTTTTTCTTCTTCCTCTTCTTCTCATTTATCTTCCTTTTCTTCCTCCTCCTCATCCTCATCCTCATCCTCCTCATCCTCATCTTCTTCTTCCTCTTCTTCCTCTTCCTCCTCTTCTTTTTCCTCCTTCTCTTCCTCTTTTTCTTCTTCCTCTTCTTCTCATTTATCTTCCTTTTCTTCCTCCTCCTCATCCTCATCCTCATCCTCCTCATCCTCCTCATCCTCTTCCTCTTCCTCCTCATCCTCATCCTCCTCATCATCCTCATCTTCCTCCTCATCATCCTCATCCTCCTCATCCTCCTCCTCATCCTCATCCTCATCCTCCTCATCCTCCTCATCCTCATTTTTGCCCTTCCAGGGGAGGATTTTTGGATTTCTAACCCCAATTTCCCATTTTTGCCCTTCCAGGGGAGGATTTTTGGATTTCTAACCCCAATTTCCCATTTTTGCCCTTCCAGGGGAGGATTTTTGGATTTCTAACCCCAATTTCCCATTTTTGCCCTTCCAGGGGATGATTTTTGGATTTCTAACCCCAAATTTCCCATTTTTTGCCACTCCAGAGGAGGATTTTGGGGTTCCTGGAGCTGATTTTGGGGTAATTCCAGCTGGTTTTGGGATTTCTGACCCCAAATTTGCCATTTTTTGCCTTCCCAGGGGAGGATTTTGGGCTAATTCCAGCCGATTTTGGGATTTCTGACCCCAAATTTCCCATTTTTGCCCGTCCAGGGGAGGATTTTGGGATTTCTAACCCCCAGATTTCCCATGTTTTGCCCCTCCAGGGGAGGAGTTTTTGATTTCTGACCCACATTTCCCATTTTCTGCCCGTCCAGGGGAGGATTTCTACGGGAAGCTGGCGGCCTCCATCGCCCCCGAGATCTTCGGGCACGAGGACGTGAAGAAATCGCTGCTGCTGCTGCTGGTGGGGGGCGTGGAGAGGAGCCCCCGCGGCATGCGCATCCGCGGTGAGGGACCGGCACGGAAATGTCCTGGGAAAGTCACGGGAAAATCCTGGGAAATAGCCCAGAAATATCCTGGGAAAATCACGGGAAAATCACAGGAAAATCCTGGGAAATATCCCAGAAAAATCACGGGAAAATCCTGAGAAAATCCCAGAAAAACCCAGAGAAAATCCTGGGAAAATCACAGGAAAATCCTGGGAAATATCCCGGGAAAATCCTGGGAAATCCTGGGAAAATCACAGAAAAATTCTGGGAAATATCCTGGGAAAATCACAGGAAAATCCTGGGAAATAGCCCAGAAAAATCACAAGAAAATCCCAGAAAAACCCGGAGAAAATCCTAGGAAAATCACGGGAAAATCCTGGGAAAATCACGGGAAAATCCTGGGAATGTCCTTTTTTCCCCCAGAATCTCCCAGAGCTGCCCCCAAATCCCTTTTCCCCCAATTTTCCCCCATTTTCCCCCCATTTCCCCCCCATTTTTTCCTATTTTCCCCCATTTCCCCCCCATTTCCCCCCATTTTCCCCATTCCTCCCCATTTTCCCCCCATTTTTCCCCATTTCTCCCCCTAATTTTCCCCCAGTTTTCCCCCCATTTCCCCCCATTTTCCCCATTTTTTCCCCATTTTTCCCTAAACCCCGCTCTTTTCCCCCAGGGAACATCAACATCTGCCTGATGGGGGACCCGGGCGTGGCCAAGTCCCAGCTGCTCACCTACATCGACCGCCTGGCGCCGCGCAGTGAGGGCCTTCCTCATCCTCCTCCTCATCATCCTCATCCTCCTCATCCTCATCTTCTTCTTCCTCTTCTTCCTCTTCCTCCTCTTCTTTTTCCTCCTTCTCTTCCTCTTTTTCTTCTTCCTCTTCTTCTCATTTATCTTCCTTTTCTTCCTCCTCCTCATCCTCATCCTCATCCTCCTCATCCTCATCTTCTTCTTCCTCTTCTTCCTCTTCCTCCTCTTCTTTTTCCTCCTTCTCTTCCTCTTTTTCTTCTTCCTCTTCTTCTCATTTATCTTCCTTTTCTTCCTCCTCCTCATCCTCATCCTCATCCTCCTCATCCTCATCTTCTTCTTCCTCTTCTTCCTCTTCCTCCTCTTCTTTTTCCTCCTTCTCTTCCTCTTTTTCTTCTTCCTCTTCTTCTCATTTATCTTCCTTTTCTTCCTCCTCCTCATCCTCATCCTCATCCTCCTCATCCTCATCTTCTTCTTCCTCTTCTTCCTCTTCCTCCTCTTCTTTTTCCTCCTTCTCTTCCTCTTTTTCTTCTTCCTCTTCTTCTCATTTATCTTCCTTTTCTTCCTCCTCCTCATCCTCATCCTCATCCTCCTCATCCTCCTCATCCTCTTCCTCTTCCTCCTCATCCTCATCCTCCTCATCATCCTCATCTTCCTCCTCATCATCCTCATCCTCCTCATCCTCCTCCTCATCCTCATCCTCCTCCTCATCCTCCTCCTCATCCTCCTCATTCTCCTCCTCATCCTCATCTTGCTCTTCTTCTTCTTCTTTCTCTTCCTCTTCTTCCTCTTTTTCCTCCTCTTCTTCTTTTTTTCCTTCCTCTTCTTCTCATTTATCTTCCTTTTCTTCCTCCTCCTCATCCTCATCCTCATCCTCCTCATCCTCATCTTCTTCTTCCTCTTCCTCCTCTTCTTTTTCCTCCTTCTCTTCCTCTTTTTCTTCTTCCTCTTCTTCTCATTTATCTTCCTTTTCTTCCTCCTCCTCATCCTCTTCCTCATCTTCCTCCTCTCCCTCCTCCCCTTTCTCTTCTTCCTCTTCTTTTTCCTGCTTCCCTTTTTCTTCTTCCTCCTTTTCTTCTAATTTCTTTTCCTTTTCTTTTTCTTCTTCTTTCTCCTCTTCCTCTTCTTCCTCTTCTTCTTTTTCTGGCTCCTCCTTTTCATCTTTTTCTTCCTCCTCTTCTCATTTCCTCTTCTTCCTCCTCCCCTTCCTCTTCTTCCTCCTTCTCTTCTTCACCTTTTTCATCTTCTTCATCTTTCTCTTCTTCCTCCTTCTTCTCTTCCTCCTTCTTCTTCTCATCTTCCTTATTTCTTATCTTCCTCCTCATTTTTCTTATTTTTCATCTTATCTTTCTTATCATATTTCTTATCTTTTTCCATATTTTCTTAAATCTCATCCTTCTCTTATTTATTTTTCTCCTTCATCTTCTCTACTTCTTCTTCTTTTCTTCGTTCTCTTCCTCATCTTCATTTTCCTCTTCTTCCTTTTTGTCCTTCATCTTTTTCTTCTTTTTCTTTCTATTTATTTGCTTCTTTCCTTTCATCTTCCTTTTCCTCCTCTTCCTCATCATTATCCCCCTTTTTCCTGTTTGTCCTCCCCATTTTTCTCCATTTTTTTCTCCTTTTTCCCCATTTTTCCGTCTCCCCAGGCCAGTACACGCCGGGGCGCGGCTCCTCGGCCGTGGGGCTGACGGCGGCCGTGCTGGGGAACCCTTTTTTACCCATTTTATACCCATTTTTACCCTGTTTTTTTCCCATTTTATCACATTTTTACCCATTTTTGTAATTTTTCTCCTCATCCTCATCCTCATCCTCATCCTCATCCTCATCCTCATCTTCCTCCTCTCCTTCCTCCCCTTTTTCTTCTTCCTCCTTCTCTTCTTCACCTTTTTCATCTTCTTCATCTTTCTCTTCTTCCTCCTTCTTCTCATCTTCCTTATTTGTCTTTCTCCTCATTTTTCCTATTTTTCATCTTATCTTTCTTATCATATTTCTTATCTTTTTCCATATTTTCTTAAATCTCATCTTTCTCTTATTTATTTTTCTCCTTCATCTTCTCTACTTCTTCTTCTTTTCTTCGTTCTCTTCCTCATCTTCATTTTCCTCTTCTTCCTTTTTGTCCTTCATCTTTTTCTTCTTTTTCTTTCTATTTATTTGCTTCTTTCCTTTCATCTTCCTTTTCCTCCTCTTCCTCATCATTATCCCCCTTTTTTTCTTCCTCCTCTTCTCATTTCCTCTTCTTCCTCCTCCCCTTCCTCTTCTTCCTCCTTCTCTTCTTCACCTTTTTCATCTTCTTCATCTTTCTCTTCTTCCTCCTTCTTCTCTTCCTCCTTCTTCTTCTCATCTTCCTTATTTCTTATCTTCCTCCTCATTTTTCTTATTTTTCATCTTATCTTTCTTATCATATTTCTTATCTTTTTCCATATTTTCTTAAATCTCATCTTTCTCTTATTTATTTTTCTCCTTCATCTTCTCTACTTCTTCTTCTTTTCTTCGTTCTCTTCCTCATCTTCATTTTCCTCTTCTTCCTTTTTGTCCTTCATCTTTTTCTTCTTTTTCTTTCTATTTATTTGCTTCTTTCCTTTCATCTTCCTTTTCCTCCTCTTCCTCATCATTATCCCCCTTTTTCCTGTTTGTCCTCACCATTTTTTTCCATTTTTTCCCCATTTTTCCCCATTTTTCTGTCTCCCCAGGCCAGTACACGCCGGGGCGCGGCTCCTCGGCCGTGGGGCAGACGGCCACCATGTTGGGGAACCCTTGATGCCCTATTTTATACCCATTTTTACCCTGTTTTTTTCCCATTTTATCACATTTTTACCCATTTTTGTAATTTTTCCCCATTTTTCTGTCTCCCCAGGCCAGTACACGCCGGGGCGCGGCTCCTCAGCTGTGGGGCTGACGGCGGCCATGTTGGGGAACCCTTTTTTACCCATTTTATATCCATTTTTACCCTGGTTTTTTCCCATTTTCTCCCCTTTTTTCGCCATTTTTACCCATTTTTATCATTTTTCCCCATTTTTTCCGTCTCCCCAGGCCAGTACACGCCGGGCGCGGCTCCTCGGGCGTGGGGCTGATGGCGGCCATTTTGCAAGTCCCTTTTTTACCCATTTCTTTACCATTTCCTCCCATTTCTTTACCATTTCCTCCCATTCCCCCTGGGAGAGTGATGGGATCAGTGGGAGAGTCTTTGGGTTGGGTTGGGTTGAGTTTGGGTCAATGGAAGAGTCTTTGGGTTGGGTTGGGTTGAGTTTGGGTCAATGGAAGAGTCTTTGGGTTGAGTTGGGTTGAGTTTGGAACCAGTGGGAGAGTGTTGGGGTCAATGGGGGAGTCTTTGGGTTGAGTTGGGTTGAGTTTGGGATCAATGAGAGAAACTTTGGGTCAATGAAGGAGACTTTGGGTCAATGGAAGAGTCTTTGGGTCAATGAAGGAGACTTTGGGTCAATGGAAGAGTCTTTGGGTCAATGGAAGGGTCTTTGGGTCACTGGGAGAGTCCTTGGGTCAGTGGAGAAGTCTTTGATCAATGGGAGAGTCTTTGGGTTGAGTTGGGTTGGGTTTGGGATCAATGGAGGATCTTTGGGTCGATGGGAGAGTCTTTGGGTTGAGTTTGGGATCAATGGAAGAGTCTTTGGGTCAATGGAGGAGTCTTTGATCAATGGGAGAGTCTTTGTGTTGAGGGTTGAGTTTGGGTTCAATGGGAGAGTCTTTGGGTTGAGTTGGGTTGGGTTTGGGATCAATGGAAGAGTCTTTGGGTCAATGGAGGAGTCTTTGATCAATGGGAGAGCCTTTGTGTTGAGGGTTGAGTTTGGGTTCAATGGAGGAGTCTTTGGGTCAATGGAAGAGTCTTTGGGTTGAGTTGGGTTGGGTTTGAGTCAATGGAAGAATCTTTGGCTCAGTGGGAGGAGCTTGGGGTTGGTGGGAGGGGCTTGAGGTCAATGGAGGAGTCTTTGATCAATGGAAGAGTCTTTGGTTGAGTTTGGGGATCAATGGAAGAATCTTTGGCTCAGTGGGAGGAGCTTGGGACAGTGGGAGGGGCTTGGGGTCAAACTGGGCTGAACTGGGAGGGACCCCCCATTCCCAAAAACCCCAATTTCCCCAATTTTCCCAAATTCCCCGTTTTTTGCCCCATTCCAGGCTGGCCCAGCACATCACCTCCCCCAAACCCCTCTGGTTCTACTGGGCTGAACTGGGCTAAACTGGGAGGGATCCCCTAATTCCCAAAAACCCCAAAAATCCCATTTTCCACCCCAAAATTCCCATTTTTCACTACAAATTTCCCATTTTTCACCCCAAAATTCCCATTTTTCCCCTCCCCACCCAACCCAACACCCCCCCCAAACCCCTCTGGTTCCACTGGGCTGAACTGGGACAAACTGGGCCAAACTGGGCAGGCTGGGAGGGACTCCCCAATTCCCAAAAACCCCAATTTTCCCGAATTCCCCGTTTTTTGCCCCATTCCAGGCTGGCCCAGCACATCACGTACGTGCACCAGCACTGCCGGGAGCCGCCCAGCGCCTTCCAGCCCCTGGACATGAAACTCATGAGGTGGGTGGCACCCAAAATTCTCCTTTTTCACCCCAAAATTCACCTCTGCTCCCTACATTCCCCTTTTTCCCCAAATTCTGCTTTTTCAGCCCCAAATTTCCCTGAAATTTTCACTTTTCCCTCCAAATTCTGCTTTTTTAGCCCAAATTTCCCTGAAAATTTCACTTTCCCCTCCACATCTCTCTGCTTTCCCCCCAAATTTCCCTTTCTCACCCCAAATTTCCCCATTTTCCCCCAAAATTTCGCCTTTTTCTCCACTAACCTCCCCTGTCCCCCCCCGAATTCCCACTTTTCCCAAATCCATGGATTTTTCCCAAAATCCCCGTTTTTCCCCCGTTCCAGCCATTCCATAATTCCCATTTTTCCCGTTTTTCCCAAAATCCCGGTTTTTCCCCCAATTCCAGCCATTCCACAATTTAAATTTCCCGTTTTTCCCAAAATCCCCGTTTTTCCCCCCATCCCAGCCATTCCATCATTCCTATTTTTCGCGTTTTTCCCAAAATCCCGGTTTTTCACCCCATTCCAGGCGGTACCTGAGCTGCTGCCGGCGCCTGCCCGAGGCTCTGGGTTTAAATCTCTCATTTTTCCCAAAATCCCGGTTTTTCACCCCAATCCAGGCGGTACCTGAGCTGCTGCCGGCGCCGCGCCCCGCGCCTGCCCGAGGCCCTGGGCGAGTTCATCACGGCCGCCTACGTGGAGCTGCGCCGCGAGAGCCGCGACGGCGTCTACACCTCTGCCAGGACCCTGCTGGCCATCCTCCGGCTGGCCACAGCACTGGTATGGACCAGTATAAACCAGTATGGACCAGTTAAACCAGTACAGAGCAGTATAAACCATCACTGACCCCCAGTGACCATCAGTGACAGTCGGTGTTATCAGTGTATCAGTTATTTACACATCTGCCAGGACCCTGCTGGCCATCCTCCGCCTGGCCACGGCTCTGGTCAGTGCCCAGTTAAACCAGTATGAACCAGTTAAACCAGTATAGACCAGTACGGACCAGTGCAGACCAGCACTGACCATCACTGCCATCAGTGTAACAGTGGGCAGGGTTATTTACACCTCTGCCAGGACCCTGCTGGCCCCTCACATTTTGTGCCAATTTTGTGCCGATTTAATGGGATTTTGGTGGTTTTTTGCCAATTTTGTGTGATTTGGGTGGGTTTTGGGTGTTTTTGTGCAGATTTTGTGTGATTTGGGTGGTTTTGTGCCGATTTAGTGCCAATTTTGTGTGATTTGGGTGTTTTTTGGTTTTTTTTGCCGATTTTGTGTGATTTTCGTGGTTTTTGGGTGATTTATTGCCGATTTTGTGTGATTTTGGTGGGGTTTTTTGCCAATTTTGTGCCAGTTTTGGTGGGTTTTTGGGTCATTTTGTTGTTTTTTGGCTGATTTTGGCGTTGTGGCAGGCGCGGCTGCGGCTGGGCGCGCTGGTGGAGAAGGACGACGTCAGCGAGGCGCTGCGGCTGCTCGAGGCCGCCCGCGACTCCCTCCGGGGAGACCCCGACCCCGCCCCCAGGTAAAAAACCCGAATTTGGGGAAAATCCCCATTTTGGGAACGCTGTTTGGGGTGATTTGGGCCGTTTTTGGAGTTTTTGAAGCTGTTTGATGCAGCTTTTGGAGCAGTTTTTGGGGCTGTATTGGGCCATTTTTGGGGTGGTTTTGAAGCAGTTTTTGGGGTGTTTCCGGGCCTGTTTTTGGGGTGATTTGGGGCAGTTTTTGGAGCAGTTTTTGGGTGGAATCGGGGCGGTTTTTGGCGCTGTTTTGGGGCAGTTTCTGGAGCATTTTTTCAGACCGTTTTTGGGCTGTTTTGGAGCAGTTTTTGGGTGGAATCAGGGCAGTCTTTGGGGCTGTTTTGGGGGTGATTTGGGCCATTTTTGGGCCATTTTTGAAGCCGTTTTTGGGTTGATTTGGGGCAGTTTTTGTAGCAGTTTCTGTAGCAGTTTTTGGGTGGAATTGGGGCGTTTTTTTGGGTGATTTGGAGCAGTTTCTGGAGCCGTTTTTGGGTGGATTTGGGGCAGTTTTTGGAGCAGTTTTTGGGTGGATTTCTGCCGTTTTTGGGCCATTTTCAGCCCCCCTAGAAGAAGAGGCCGCGCATGCGGCGGCCGATGCCCTGGCGGTCGCAGGTTTTGGGCTGTTTTTGGGTTAATTTGGGGCAGTTTTTGGAGCAGTTTTTGGGGCAGTTTTTGGGTGGATTTTTGCCGGTTTTGGGCCATTTTCAGCCCTCCCCTAGAAGAAGAGGCCGCGCATGCG